ACGCAGAGAAACCCTGTCTCGGAAAAACCAAAAAAAAAAAAAAAAAAAAAAAAAAAAAAAAAAAAACACAATAATCAGTAACAGCCAGGACAGAGTCTTCACTAACACCCAGCAACCCCACCACAGGAGACTCTAAGAACTGCAGTATAGCCGAACACAAGACATGGACTTCAAATTAGTCTTTAGAAAGATGTTAGAGGTCCCTAAAGAGGAAATGATTAAATCCCTTAAAGAAATCTCTGGAAACATTAAGAGTGGGATGAAATGAAAACCAAACCCAAAAAACAAACAAACAAACAAAATCAGCTCAAGACTTGCAAGTGGAAATAGAATCAATAGAGAAAACCCAAACTGAGGGAAATTGTGGGGCCTACCTAGGTTACAAAGATGGTGCTGAGGGGAAGTTAGCCCAAGTTGTTTACGCTGAGATTAGATACAAAAATCAAGAGATGATGTCAGTGCATAAACAGCTCGACAAAGGAATGAGTACAGGGTGACCTTTAAAATGATTGGCTGGTTCCTTCCACACCCTCCTAGGGTTCTGAGGTTTTCTGCTATAAAAGAGGCTTACTGCCTAACAACAATGAAAGAGTTCTTGCTTGACTTGACTCCTGCTGGGTCTGATTGTCTGCGGGTATGAGGAAGGCTTTACCATGGGCTTTACCTTTCCTCTGTGGGCTTAACCTACCTTTCCTCCATTCCAGCACTCAGGAGAATGGTGGGGGGCAGAGACAGGTAGGTGGGATACAAATGAACACACACACACACACACACACACACACACTGGAAGGAACTCTGCATGTTCCCAAAGGAGAAAGGCAAATACCAACCTACCTACACATCCTTGATCTCCAAGAGTGATCTGCCTGCAAGGTATGCTGGTTCAATAGTGGCACAAACCTCGTGGGAGTAACCCTCCAATATTTGATTTGAATTAAGGCACACTCCATGGGATGGAACCCATACCCAAGAACCTGAGACTAGACAGGCCAGGGACCTAGGGAAAAACCAAATACTACTGTTCTGCTAAAGGAACATAAAAATGAATGACTCCTGATGAAACCCCGCTACACTCATAAATCATGCCTTGCTCAGCCATCAGAGAGGCTTCCTTCTGTAGCAGAAGGGAACTAATACAGAGACCCACAGCCAGACAACATGCAGAGAATGAGAGACCTTGGAATACTCAGTCCTAAAAGGGATGTCTCCATCAAATCCCTCCCTTCAGAGCTCAGAGAACTCTGCAGAAGAGGAGGCAGGAAGAGAAAGAGAGAGAGAGAGAAAGAGAGAGAGAGAGAGAGAGAGAGAGAGAGAGAGAGAGAGAGAGAGAGAGAGAGAGTTTGGGGTGAAAGGCATCAAGGAATCAAGGCCTTCTAGACACAACAGGGCTGGTATACATATGAACCCACAAAGACTGTGGCTGCAGGCACAGGACCTGCACAGATCTACACCATGCAGGGTCCTAGAGTTGAAGTGGACACATGCCTCCACCCCTACCCCAGAAGTCATCTACAGTTGAGAGCCACTTCCCATTGAAAAATTAGTTTTTTCAAAAGGAGTCTCACTGGGGAAACAAAACACTCCAAGGTTAGGCCCCATGCCCAGCAGTAGATGGTCAACACAAAGCGAAGTCAATGGTATCTTTGGAGGTTCTTTGTTTCAAAATGTTGGAGCATTTTTTTTTTTTTTTGAGACAGAGTTTCTATGTGTAGCCCTGGCTGTCCTGGAACTTGCTCTGTAGACCAGGCTGGCCTTGAACTCAGAGATCCACCTGCCTCTGCCTCCTGAGTGCTGGGATTAAAGGTGTGCGCCACCACACCTGTTTTTTTTTTTTTAAACCTTACAGATTGTGTGTGTGTGTGTGTATTTTGTAGCTTTTTTATTTAAATTTTTTTCATTCTACATATCAACCCTTGTTTCCCCTCCCTCCCCTTCTCCCACTTCCCCCAACCTCCTTCTATCCCACCCCCATCCCCTCCTCATAGAGAGTAAGGCCTCCCTTGGGGAATCAACACAGGCTGGCACACCAAGTTGAGGCAAGAACAAGCCCCTCCCTCCTGCATCACGGCTGAGTAAGGCATCGAACCATAGGAAATGAATGGTCTCTAAAAAGCCAGTTCGTGTACCTGGGATAAGTCCTGGTCTCATTGCCAGGGGACCCACAAACACATCAAGCCATGCAACTGTCACCCACATTCAGAGGGCCTAGTGTGGTCCTAGGCAGGCTCCCCAGCTGTCAGTCCAGAGTCTGTGAGCCCCGCCCCCCGCCCCCCCCCCCACGCTTTGTGTATATATTATGGCTTCCAGTTTGGGGTTTTTATGGGATTCCTGGGTGTGGGAACGTATGTGTCTTCACATCACATCTATATGTGTTTCTTTTTTCTTTTTGGTTCTTTTTCTTGTTTGGTTGTTTTCTCATATTCTGATTTGTTTTTCACTTAATGTATTTTATTTTAATATAATTCTAATTACCTGTTTGTTTTCTAACTGGAGACAGAAAGAGTGTGGATCTAGATGGGGGTGGTGGTGGTGGGGAGGGATTGGAAGGAGTAGGGAGCGGGAGGGGAATGTAATCAGAAAATATTGTATAAAATTCTATTTTCAACAAATGGTGCTGGCATAACTGGATGTCAATATGTAAAAGATTACAAATAGATCCATATCTGTCACCATGCTTAAAACTCAAGTCCAAGTGGATCAAAGACCTAAACATAAATCCAGTTACACTAAACTTAATAGAAAAGAA